ACATTGCTTCACCACTCTCTTAACCTCTCTCTTTTTCTCCATATACTCTTCCCTCCTTGCATCACTTCTAATTTTTAAAAACTTTTCATGTGCTAACTTTTTCTCCCTTACTACTCTCTTTACATCATCATTCCACCAATCGCTCCCCTTCCCTCCCGCACCCACTTTCCTGTAACCACAAACTTCTGCTGAATACTCTAACACTACATTTTTAAACCTACCCCATACCTCTTCGACCCCATTGCCTATGCTCTCATTAGCCCATCTATCGTCCAATAGCTGTTTATATCGTACCCTAACTGCCTCCTCTTTTAGTTTATAAACCTTCACCTCTCTCTTCCCAGATGCTTCTATTCTCCTTGTATCCCATCTACCTTTTACTCTCAGTGTAGCTATAACTAAAAAGTGATCTGATATATCTGTGGCCCCTCTATAAACATGTACATCCTGAAGACTACTCAACAGTCTTCTATCTACCAATACATAATCCAACAAACTACTGTCATTTTCCCCTACATCATATCTTGTATACCTATTTATCCTCTTTTTCTTAAAATATGTATTACCTATAACTAAACCCCTTTCTATACAAAGTTCAATCAAAGGGCTCCCATTATCATTTACACCTGGCACCCCAAACTTACCTACCACACCCTCTCTAAAAGTTTCTCTTACTTTAGCATTCAGGTCCCCTTCCACAATTACTCTCTCACTTGGTTCAAAGGTTCCTATACATTCACTTAACATCTCCCAAAATCTCTCTCTCTCCTCTGCATTCCTCTTTTCTCCAGGTGCATACACGCTTATTATGACCCACTTTTTGCATCCAACCTTTATTTTAATCCATATAATCCTTGAATTTACAAATTTATATTCTCTTTTCTCCTTCCATAACTGATCCTTCAACATTATTGCTACCCCTTCCTTAGCTCTAACTCTCTCAGAAACTCCAGATTTAATCCCGTTTATTTCTCCCCACCGAAACTCCCCTACCTCCTTCACCTTTGTTTCGCTTAGGGCCAGGACATCCAACTTTTTTTCATTCATAACATCAGCAATCATCTGTTTCTTGTCATCCACACTACATCCACGCACATTCAAGCATCCCAGTTTTATAAAGGTTTTCTTCTCTTTTTTTAGTAAATGTTTACAGGAGAAGGGGTTACTAGCCCATTGCTCCCGGCATTTTAATCGCCTCATACGTCACGCATGGCTTACAGAGGAAAGATTCTTTTCCACTTCCCCATGGACAATAGAAGAAATAAAGAAGAACAAGAGCTATTTAGAAAAAGGAGAAAAACCTAGATGTATGTATATACATGTATATATATATATATTTTTTTTTTTTTTTTCAAGTTGGCCGTTTCCCACCGAGGCAGGGTGACCCAAAAAAAAAAAAAGAAAATCCCCAAAAAGAAAATACTTTCATCATCATTCAACACTTTCACCACACTCGCACATTATCACTGTTTTTGCAGAGGTGCTCAGAATACAACAGTCTAGAAGCATACACATATAAAGATACACAACATATCCCCCCAAACTGCCAATATCCCAAACCCCTCCTTTAAAGTGCAGGCATTGTACTTCCCATTTCCAGGACTCAAGTCCGACTATATGAAAATAACCGGTTTCCCTGAATCCCTTCACTAAATATTACCCTGCTCACACTCCAACAGATCGTCAGGTCCCAAGTACCATTCGTCTCCATTCACTCCTATCTAACACGCTCACGCACACTTGCTGGAAGTCCAAGCCCCTTGCCCACAAAACCTCCTTTACCCCCTCTCTCCAACCCTTTCGAGGACGACCCCTATATATATATATATATATATATATATATATATATATATATATATATATATATATATATATATATATATGTGCATGTGCATGTCTGTGAAGTGTGACCAAAGTGTAAGTAGGAGTAGCAAGATATCCCTGTTATCTAGCATGTTTATGAGACAGAAAAAGACACCAGCAATCCTACCATCATGTAAAACAGTTACAGGTTTCTGTTTCACAGTCATCTGGCAGGACGGTAGTACTTCCCTGGGTGGTTGCTGTCTTACTCCCCCTGCTTTTAACATTTCTGTCGTGATCCCGTCAGTTCCAGCTGCTTTACCCCCTTTCATTCTACATAATGCCTCATGCACCTCCCCACACTCACATCCTGTTCTTCTTCACTCTTAAAAGATGGTATACCTCCCTGGCCAGTGCATGAAATTACCGCTTCCCTTTCTTCGTCAACATTTAAAAGTTCCTCCAAATATTCTCGCCATCTACCCAAAACCTCCATCTCCCCATCTACTAACTCCCCTACTCTGTTTTTAACTGACAAATCCATTTGTTTTCTAGGCTTTCTTAACTTGTTTAACTCCAAATTTTTTTCTTACTTTCATTAAAATTTCTTGATAGTGCCTCTCCCACTCTTTCATCTGCTTTCCTTTTGCACTCTCTCACCACTCTCTTTACCATTCTTTTACTCTCCATATACATACTCTACTCTTCTTATTACACTTTTGCTTTGTAAAATCCTCTCATAAGTTAACTTTTTCTCTTTTATCACACCCTTTACTTCATCATTCCACCAATCACTCCTCTTTCCTCGTGCACCCACCCTCCTATAACCACAAACTTCTGCCCCACATTTTAATACTGCATTATTAAAACTATTCCAACCCTCTTCAACTCCCTTACTACTCTTACTTGCACCAGCCCACCTTTCTGCCAATAGTTGCTTATATCTCGCCCGAACTTCCTCCTCCCTTAGTTTATACACTTTCACCTCTCTCTTGCTTGTTGTTGCCATTTTCCTCTTTTTCCCATCTACCTCTTACTCTAACTGTAGCTACAACTAAATAATGATCCGATATATCAGTTGCCCATCTATAAACATGTACATCCTGGAGCCTACCTATCAACCTTTTATCCACCAATACATAATCTAACAAACTACTACTTTCATTACGTGCTGTATCATACCTTGTATATTTATTTATCCTCTTCTTCATAAAATATGTATTACTTATTACCAAACCTCTTTCTACACATAGCTCAATTAAAGGCTCCCCATTTTCATTTACCCCTGGCACCCCAAATTTACCTACTTCTCCCTCCAGAACATTTTTGCCCACTTTAGCATTGAAATCCCCAACCACCATTACTCTCACACTTGGTTCAAAACTCCCCACGCATTCACTCAACATTTCCCAAAATCTCTCTCTCTCCTCTACACTTCTCTCTTCTCCAGGTGCATATGCGCTTACTATAACCCACTTTTCACATCCATCCTTTATTTTACTCCACATAATCCTTGAATTAATACATTTATAGTCCCTCTTTTCCTGCTATAACTTATCCTTCAACATTATTGCTACTCCTTCTTTAGCTCTAACTCTCTTTGAAATCCCTGACCTAATCCCATTTATTCCTCTCCACTGAAACTCTCCCACCCCCTTCAGCTTTGTTTCACTTAAAACCGGAATATCCAGCTTCTTCTCATTCATAGCATCCACAGTCATCTCTTTCTTATCAGTCACACAACATCCACGCACATTCAGACTTCCCACTTTGACAATTTTCTTCTTATTCTTTTTACTAGTCTTTACAGGAAAAGAGGTTACTAGCCCATTGTTCCCGGCATTTTAGTTGACTTTTACAACACGCATGGCTTATGGAGGAAAGATTCTTATTCCACTTCCCCATGGATATAAAAGGAAGAGTAATAAGACAAAGAACTGTTAAGATAAAATCAAAGAAAACTCAGATGAGAATGTATAAATAAATGTGTACATGTATGTGTAGTGTGACCTAAGTGTAAGTAGAAAGATATGTAAATATATAATAGAATATTACTAATATTTAACATTTTTGCATGATTTTTTGTTCTAAAGTTTTGTAAACAACATGATGATGAAAATATTAGTGCAGTTATTGTGTTTAATACAATGAGTGTACATATATACATTATGCATTATATTGGTCTCATAGGCCACAAACTTTACTGGAAAAAAAAATATTAGAAAAGAAAAAAGTAACAAAAAAGCAAAATAAAAAATGCGACTTTACGGAAGTCGCTGATGTTTCCGCCATCCGGTCATTGAGGGTCAACTTCACGCCTCTGTATCTTGGTAAGTACTGATCAGAATTTTTTTTTTATTACCTCTAGAAAAATATCTTTAATTCTATAAGATTTTTTTTTTTTTTTTTTTTTTTCCCCGAAAATTCTTGGACCCTGGCAGTAACTGAGATTTGGCCTCTGGACCCTCAAAGGGCTAAAAGTTTGATTTATTATTTCAAACTGATTGGGTGATCTTCAGTTTTGTGAAGTGATTGAATAGTGATAGTGAAGACATAGCAAGTTACAGTAGAAATGTAATGGAACAAGATGAATTATTAATTTTCTGTGGGAGTTGAAGAACACTGATAGAGTTGAATTAATTGGTTTTTCTTTGACATATTGTGTTGAGGGTTCAGTTACATTACAGAGATGGTGTTTTTAACAGTAGCTCTGAGTTGATTGGCAGACAGGGGGATCTTTTGATGAGTCAGGCAGTGAATTCCAGATCTTTGGGCCTTTTATGCACCCAGTGAGGAGCAGGGGCACAGTGGCCACAATAAGGGAAACCTGTGTCAACATTCAAGGCCTCAAACTTTTCAGCATCATACCAGAAGATATCAGAAACATGGCTGGTACAAGTGTAGAAGCCTTCAAGAGGAGACTGGACAAGTTTCTTCACCAAGTGCCGGATCAACCAGGCTGTGATGGATATGTGGGGCAGCGGGCCTCCAGCAGCAACAGCCTGGTTGGCCAGGCAAGCACCAGACTAGCCTGGGCCATGGCCAGGCTCTGAGAGTAGAGAGACTCGTAACTCATCAACACTATATCAAAGGTATTGAGTTATTGCACAGGTTGAGTGAGACATGAAGGATGTCACAGAGGGTTTTATGTCTTGCCTGTGTCTGATAAAATATGTCTATTTCATTTTTGCTTTCAGGACGTTGATGTTCCAAAAGCCCTGGGTGACTTGGTGGAGGCTATCATTGGTGCTGTCTACCTTGACACTTGTAGATCACTGCAGGTCAGTATTTCTACCTCTACCACTGGAGTGTATGCCACGGTGGTACTCCCACTGTGGAATACACTGCAGGTCATCCTTCATAACAGTGTTACCACAACAGTGTTTCACCACCAGTGGTAAACCTCAGAACCTAATAAACACTGAAGGTAAATTCACAATGCTGAAACATTAACAAACACTTGACTTTATAATGGTTTATTACACTATGGGATACATTTTACACTAGGGGATACATGTTACACTAGGGGATATATGTTACACTAGGGGATACATGTTACACTAGGGGATACATGTTACACTAGGGGATACATGTTACACTAGGGGATACATGTTACACTAGGGGGTACATGTTGCATTAGGGGATGCATGTTACACTAGGGGATACATGTTACACTAATGGTTACTAGTGAGCAAAACCCAGTGTTCTCCCTCACTTCTCTAATATATAGTACTGTGTTCAGTATTTTCAGTGTACAATATGTACCTCCACAGTGTACACTATATACACTGTGGAGGTACATATGTATGTGGTTTATGTGCAATAAATGATCTCACAGGATCCAATTAACTACCACACCTTCGACGCATTATCTGAGATGAACACAAGAACAGTAGTGATTACCTTGAGCGATCAGAGTAGTTGTAATGTTGAATGATCAGTTATCTCAGTATTGTGGTACCAGCACTGTTGTTTGAGTGTGAAGCATGGTTGTTATCACAGTATGGTGGTACCAACCCTGTTGTATAGGTGTGAAGCATGGGTTTTAAACATTGCAGCCAGGAGGAGGCTGGAGGAGCATATGGATACACTGTAGGTATCATACAGTGTATGATACACTGTAGGCCTAGGAACTAGGCTCCAAAAGGGTTTACAGGAGTACATCTGGATTTATGTCTACAGTTCACTTATCTGTTGCAAGCAGTTTTAGGAAATTTACTTGTAACAGATAAGTTATCATATAAATAATCTAATGAAATAAAATTCAAAACAATTGAGATTAATTTCCTTTTCCCAGATTTTTGAGTATCTGTATCTGCTTCTCCAGTGAACATGTAAGTCACTATGTGAGTGAAGAGTCTTCAGTAATGATCAGCTGTCATTAATAATCAAAGACTGAAGCTCAGTGTCAAAAGTTAACTTTAGTGTCATTAGGATGACAAACACTTAAATTTACAGTGTAGACACACAGTTGTTAATTCTTATGACTAACTCAACAAAGTTCCTATCGTTGTTAACTGGGAAAGTGAGAAGAACAAGTGCAGTCCTGCTAGCGGACTCCTGCTGAGATCCATCAGTGTACATAATTTGTGATACATTATATTATTACCAACAGTTAAGTCAAAAATATCTTCTTGATCACCTGTATATGCAAGACAAACTGTTTATTTTTTTTATCTGCTGCTGATGAAGAAGTTAGCTGGACATCTTTGTGAGTTTGTAAAGTGTTTTGTGTTGATCATATTGATCATATATGAAGCAACATAGATCTTTAATTGTAAACACTTTCTTCACAGAGAACTTGGGAAGTTATTGAAATATTAATGGGAGACACACTGAAGAAGAGTCTGGCAGATATTCCAGGCAACAGTATCAGAGAACTCTACGAGGTGGTTAATAAAGTGAAGCCAGGAGACATACGCTTTGAGAAAGTGCCCCGAGAAGAGAACGATGACACCTCGAAATACCTTCTCAAAGTAGGTTGTTAATGGCTTATGTTGCACATACAGTAATTATGTGAAGGATGGGCAAGGACATCACAGTTCAGAGTGTCATCTGAATTGTGATGTCAACACACTTTTGGAAAGACAGAAGACAGTTATGGAGTGAATGATAATTTTTTTTTTTTGTATGTACTCACCTAGTTGAGGTTGCGGGGGTCGAGTCACAGCCCCTGGCCCTGCCTCTTCACTGGCCACTTCTAGGTGTGTGTGTGTGTGTGTGCTTGTTTTCAGCCTACCATGGTGGGAGTTGACCAGACAGATATAACAAATGATTGACTGATTGATTCACAACTCTGCTGAAAATTGAATATCCAAACAGAAATGAGAAAAACTTGGCCAAAGATTTTCAAAGCAAGTGAGGCCTATCATCATTACTTTCATCTTAGATTATTAATTTGATGAGTATTGATAGTTGTCCTATTCCCCGAGCCTGGTCCTGGACCAGGCTTCTCTGCTCATCCAGGCTGCTGTTACTGCTGGTAACTCACTGGCTCACATATCCGCTGTGTCAGCATCCACTGTCAGCAACAGTTTGACTGTTGTACCATGTATACAATAAATGAACACTGTCAACATCCACTGGTACTTACTGTACACATCGTTCATGTGTACCTTCAGAATTCAGTGTAGTGACTGGTCTTGGACTGTGGTCTGGCCTGGTCTGGTCTGGGATTACTGACCAGTTACCTTATGCCACCACACCACACATTGTCAATTCATGTCCAGATCATCTCATTAAATCCTTCATTTGATTACAGTCATCTCCCTTATAAAGCTTCTCTATACAGTGGACCCTCGCCTAACGATATTAATCCGTTCCTGAGAGCTCATCGTTAGCTGAGTTAATTTTCCCCTAAGAAATAATGGAAATCCAATTAATCCATTCCAGACAGCCAAAAGTATTAAAAAAAAAAATTTTTTTTCATGAAATATACATTTCCCTACAAAGAAAACAATAAGACATGCACAATAACTACATAAATTAATGTTAAAATGACACTTACCTTTATTGAAGAGTATTGATGAGTGATGAGACACTGTTTTTCTTGCAATCCCCACTTGCATTACAACAAAACATGAGAGTTAGCCTGTCTTTCACAGGCTTGTGTCCTGGGAGTGCCTTTTCCTCCTGAGTAATGTAGGTCCTGTTTGGCATTTTCTTCCAGAACAGGCCTGTTACGTCACAATTGAACACTTGTTGGGGTTGGAATTTTTCAGCTTCACCATGCTTTATCACGCTGTGTATGCCACTACAATTCTTAAATCTCTCAAACCAACCTTTGCTGGCCTTAAATTCACCAATATGAGCACTAGTTCCAGGCATTTTTTCCTGTTCACCTGGGTGTTAGCTAACTGTTGTGGGTCGCATCCTGGGGGACAAGATTAAGGCCCATCCAATGGAAATAAGTTAGACAGTCCTCGATGATGCACTGGCTTTCTTGGGTTATCCTGGGTGGCTAACCCTCTGGGGTTAATCGTTTCTCGGTAATTGTTTCCCGTTAAGCCACACCAACAACACACTCCACATCTTCGAGTAGTACAGCTGACGGTGGTGGAGCAACAGCTGACAGTGGTGCAGCAGCAGCTGACCATGGTACAATAGTATTTCTCACCCTTTTTACCACAGAGTTGGCACTAGAAGCTTTATTTGGGCCCATAGTGGCTTATTTAGCAGTTACAAGCACTATAAACAATGGAATAATACAAAATGTATCGAATGTATGCATGCAACCGGCCACCCTGGCTTGTAAACAATGACGGCAGGGAAGCGTAGGCGCTCAGGCTGGACGGACAGGTTCGGGACGAGTCATGTTGGTCAGAAACAGCTGACGGTGGTGCAGCAGCAGCTGACAGTGGTGCAGCAACAGCTGACAGTGGTGCAGCAACAGCTGACTGTGGTGCAGCAACAGCTGACTCTGGTGCAGAAGCAGCTGACTGTGGTTCAGCAACAGCTGACTGTGGTGCAGCAGCAGCTGACAGTGGTTCAGCAACAGCTGACTCTGGTGCAGCAGCAGCTGACCGTGGTGCAGCAACAGCTGACAGTGGTGCAGCAACAGCTGACGGTGGTGCAGCAGCAGGTGACTAGTGCGGCAACAGCTGACCGTGGTGCAGCAACACCTGACTGTGGTGCAGCAACACCTGACAGTGGTGCAGTAGCAGGTGACCGTGTTGCAGCAACAGCTGACAGTGGTTCAGCAGCAGCTGACAGTGGTTCAGCAACAGCTGACTGTGGTGCAGCAGCAGCTGACCGTGGTGCAGCAACAGCTGACAGTGGTGCAGCAGCAGCTGATGGTGGTGCAGCAACAGCTGACAGTGGTGCAGCAACAGCTGACAGTGGTGCAGCAGCAGCTGACAGTGGTGCAGCAGCAGCTGTGGTGCAGCAACAGCTGACCGTGGTGCAGCAACAGCTGACCGTGGTGCAGCAACAGCTGACTGTGGTGCAGCAGCACCTGACTGTGGTACAACAGTATTTCTCACCCTTTTTACCACAGGGTTGGCACTAGAAGCTTTCTTTGGGCCCATGGTTGCTTATTTAGCAGTTACAAGCACTGTAAACAATGGAATAATACAAAATGTATCGAATGAATGCATGCAACCGGCCACCCTGGCTTGTAAACAATGACGGCAGGGCAGCTGAGACACTCAGGCTGGATGAAGCAGGTTTGGGAGGAATCACATTTGGCGAGTTTTTTATTGTGAGGCAAGGCAAAATTTTTGCTTTAAAATGTATCATATAGCGGATTTAACGTAACGCGATGTCATCGTATGGCGGGGGTCCACTGTATACATTATTATTGTAATAAAAAAGAAGCGCTAAACCACAAGAGCTATACAGCTTTGCAGGGCAGGAAGGAAGTGAGAGTATCAGGTGGCAAAAGGGAGAGGGATGATTAGTAGGTTACGGAGAACAGCGGGGCAGTGGATAGTGCAGGGACAGAGGGTAGCAAGAGATTGAGGTAGAAAGGGCTGAGGGGAGTGCAAAAGGTATCATCCGAGTTTGTGGAGTAAATTAGTTATTGTCAAGAAGTCAATGAGAGAGTCAGGATTAAAGGAGGGTCCATCAGCAAGAAGGGAAGGTAAAGAGAGAGTAGAGAGGAGACGATTTTGGAGTTAAATTTTGGGTGCTCGATGTGGCCAACCAATACTGGAACCTGACACTTCTCACAGAGAGGAACATGGTGCCTCTCCATGAGATACCCATGAGTAAGACGAGTGTGGCCAATGCGAAGGCAGGAGAGAGTAGTCTCCCAACCTCGACACTGATGACAAGAAGACGGCCAGTAACCTATACTTGGTTTAATAGAATGAAGTTTGTTACCGAGTAGATTAGACCAACATTGTTGCCAACGGGTGTGAAGGTGGGTAGCTATTACAGCAAAATAGTCCGTAAATGGAACACCTCTATATGAAACTGGTAGGTCATGTGCTGCTGACCGAGCAGCATTGTCTGCCTGTTCATTGTCCTATACATCAACATGACCAGGGACCCAACAAAAAACAATATCTTTATGCTTGGTAGAGATACGGAGTAGCCAAAGTTGGATACGGAGAACTAGGGGGTGAGGTGTATCAAATTTTCGTATAGCCTGTAAAGAAATAAGGGAGTCTGAGACAACCACAAATAATGACACAGGCATAGATGCAATACGGATAAGTGCTGCAAGAATGGCATACAATTCAGCAGTAAAAATGCTAGCCAAAGATAGTAAATGCCCTTGTACGACGCTGTCCGGAAACACTGCTGCGAATCCTATGCCGTCAGTAGACTTAGAGCCATCTGTGTACACTGCGATGGCATGAGAATGAGAGTGGAAATGGTCAAGAAAAAGAGAACGGGAAGCTACCATAGGCAGTTGGGCTTTCGAGTAAGGGAGTGAGAAAGAACAGACTCGAACAGCTGGAACTTCCCAGGGGGGCAGGAAAAAATGAGATGCTACATGAACATAGAAATATGGTAACTGATGGGAAGACCAGAGCGAATGTAGGCGAAGAGAGAAGGGATGGAGCAAACAGGGGTGGTGAACAAATAAAGAATGTCTACTAATATCTGTAACCATTCTATAAATGGAAGGATTGCGATTATGAGAGCTTACATAGTAACGAAGGCAATGGGCATCACGGGGATTGGACAAGGATGGAACATTCGCTTCTGCATAGAGGCTCTCAACAGGAGATGAGCGAAAAGCACCAAGGCATAAACGTAATCCTTGGTGATGGATGGGGTTAAGGCTAAAGAGAGTAGCAGGAGAGGCCACTGAATATATCTGGTCACCATAATTGAGTTTCGACAAAATGAGGGCTGAATGTAGGCGAAGGAGAGTTTGACGATCAGCTCCATGAAAGATGAGCAAGGGTTTTAAGAAGGTTCAGCCGGCTGTGACAAGTTTCCTTCAGAGAGGTAATGTGAAGTTTCCAGGATAACCTACGGTCAAAGAGAAGGCCTAGAAACCTGACTGTATCACGTTCAGGGATACGGGAGCCATAGAGGTGCAAAGGATGATCGGAGATGACAGAGCGTCTCGAGAAAGTAATTTGGTGAGTTTTGGTACTGGAAAATTTAAACCCATGCGTGGTGGCCCAGTTGGAAATACGGTCGACTGCATGCTGAAGAGAAAATGTAATGAGGTGACAGTCAGCGCCTGCACAAGCAATAGCGAAGTCGTCAACATAGAGTGATGACCAAATATTGGAGGGAAGACTAGATGCCAAATCATTTATAGCAAGGAGAAAAAGTGTTGTGCTCAGAACACATCCCTGGGGGACACCTTCAGCTTGGACAAAGTCCGGGGAGAGCACGTTATTAACCTGAGCACGGAAATGTCTGTTAGTTAAAAAGTTCTTAAGGATGGATGGTAGATTGCCTCAGAAGCCTAAGGAGTGGGCTTGGGCCAAAATATTGTACCTCCAAGTTGTGTCATATGTCTTCTCAAAGTCAAACAATATGGCAATAATTGAGTTGTTATTCGCAAAGG